TTTTTATTAGTTTTTTTTTTCGCTGGTAATTGCTCATAATATGACGAATCCATACCCATTGTTGTTTCATGTGATTTTTCCGATGTATTTAAGTCTTCGTTTACGAYGTCAATACAATCGCTTTCTGGTGAATTAATTCCCCCAGTGTTTTCCAATTCACTCACCGACATTGGTGTTGGAATATTACCTATCATTTGTCTCGGTGTTTCAATATCCTTTAAGAAAGACAATGTTTCATAAAATCTCCACTTCGATGAGCTTCCTCCAAACCCAGATCCTGTTGGTTTTTTGTTCTTTTTAATTCTTTTTTATATGTATCTCTTAAATTTTGCCATTTAGTTTTTAATAGATCGCCTATATTATAAAATAATTAAATCAAATAAACTAAATTGTAAAAATTATGTAAATATTTATCTAAGAAAAATGTTGTTTCTATATTTTTTTTTTTTTAAATGTAGTTAATTCTGTTACCAAAAAATCTAAAAAATATACATAACCATAGTTTTAGATTCTAAGCAGAGCGATGAATGTAGTGGTTTTACAATGGTGTTTATTTTTTTTATATATATCCTGTAAACAAAATTCCTACCAGAAGAAGTGCTTTGATTTCCACATAATATAATATCTTATCTCTTAGAAAATTGGATCAAGATAACACTTTAAAACGGACGTTTTCCGATTTTCTCAATAGTTATTTAACGCCACGAAAAAAACCACTGAAAAATTACGAAAAAACAGAATTTTGTCAAAATTTTTCTAATACTTTGTCCATCACCATAGAAACGAATATTTTAAATTCAAAAATTACCGGATTCTCATTAGGTACCTATATTATATCACAGTGTGTCCACATTACATATTATATAATATTTGAATATTACATTTTAATGGTTACTTATTTTCTTTCGTCCGCTCGGAATAGTTTCATATCGAATGTTCGAATGCAACTATTGCATTCAAATCGAATACTGTAATAATACACTACGTAATACGGTACCCTGCCCGAGTGTGTTTTTTTATTTTTTCTGTCTGTGTACACAATAAGTAGTCAAAATAATGATTCGATTTTCAATTTAAATGTCTTGTTTAGTGGAAAAGTGAATAGATATAGTAAGTGCATTTTGGAGTTAAAATTTAAAATCCCCAGTAGTTATTAAAAATAATTACTCACAATTTTTTTTAAGATTTACCTATATGTTCGAATTAAATCTGTTTATTTATTTTTGGTTTTTGAGTTACAGTATAAACTAACCGTTTTTAAAGATTTTAATCCTTAGCTATACAAATATAATATTTTATAAATTTTTGCTACCAATAAAATAATTTGAAAATTTTCAATTTGATAAATGTTGTCAAAATTAGAACTTTAAATGCTTGCAAAAAAAAAATCTTGCCTAKGTATTTTTAATATTTTTAAACCGATATTATAACAATGTTCGAGGATTCTTGTATTATAAAGTAAATTTTTTTGATGCAATGAATACAATTTTATTGACATCTGTAGAAAAAAAAAACCTAAAAAAATAAAATTGAAACAGCTCAAAAAGACTCAAAATATTTTTAGTATATATTTCATTAAGATAAAATAAACATTTGGTGTAAATTGTATGTAGCTGTGGTTATTCCTTAATAAATAACAATGAAATAAGAAAATCGTTCCGTGAAAAATCTATTGAAAATCGAATGTTGTAAAAATTTTAAGTTTTTGAAAAAACGCTTATAAAAATTTAACTTGACTCTCCAGGAAACATATTTTTATTGTTAAAGGTAGATAAACTTGTTAGGAACTTTGTACTTATTAAATTTTCATATCTATGCTATTTTTTATTTCTAACTCAACTAAATTTGCAATTAATTTTTGTAATTTTGATATATTTTGACCTTTCAATGTACTAATACTAGATTCTCTTTTCCAGCAGAAAAGATACTAAAATTGAAAATCGAATCATTATTTCGATAACTTTGTGTACACACACACTGAAAAAAACATCATTGTAAAATCATTAGGTACATGCATACATCGCTCTGTTCAAAATCTAAAATAGGCTATTTTGAGCTTTAAAAAAAATGTACATAAGATATTTAATTTTTTTGTTTTCTGTATTAAAAAATAATAAACGTTGTACTATATGTGTAAATGAGTAAGCATATTTACATTATACAGACATTTTTTTTTTTAATGTATTAGAATTAAAGTTATTTTATTTGTCATGTCATTCTGTCACATTCTTATTGTAATCTATAGGTTACACCAACTACAAGTGTAACAGGAAAACATGAAAAAAAATGATGCTACTTTAATGTAGGACAAAAATTGAGAAAATTAAATGATTAGGTAAAATATAATTTAAGAAATATACTCATATCAATAAATTTCTAAAAATAATATTTTGAAAAAAATTTATTATGTTCTAAATTAATTTACTCAAAAAAATATTGATATTGTAAAAAATTCTGAAAAATAAACTACTCGACTTAGATAAATGTTTCTACCATCAAATTGTAAATCATTTAATCTGTCAAGTCTTAATATTACACACTGTATATGATTATGATTTTTGTATGATTAGGTGTTTTTTTCAAGTGTGTAATTAGGTTTAGAGTACTAACTTACACATTTTAAATTATGTTTTAGGTTTCTATCTACGGGAACTCCTTATAGATCATTAGCATTTTCATTTCGTATGGCACATAACACGATCAGTGGAATAATTTATGAAACATGTAACACTATTTGGAATGTTTTTGGACATATTCATATGCCTTTTCCGACGAAAGATATATTTTACCAGATTGCTCACGATTTCGAAACTCTGTGGAATTTTCCTAATTGTATCGGGTGTATTGACGGTAAACACATCCGCATAAAATGTCCAAAAAAAAGTGGTTCAATGTTTTATAATTATAAAAATTATTTTTCGGTACATTTGCAAGGCGTGTGTGATGCAAAATATAAATTTATTACAGTGGACATAGGAGCGTATGGAAAACAGAGTGATAGCGGTGTATTTACTGAGTCTAATGTATATAATTACCTAGAAACAAATTCCTTTAATGTACCACCCAACAGACCACTTCCAAACACAAAAATTCCAATGCCTTTTGTTTTATTGGGAGACCAAGGATATCCACTAAAAGAATATTTGATGCGACCATATCCATGCACCACAAATTTGGATCCAGAAAAGGAAATTTTCAACTATCGTCTCAGTCGAGCCAGACGTATGATAGAATGTACATTTGGTATATTAGTATCAAAGTGGAGGTGTCTAAAAACGGAATTACAAGTTAATGAAGGTCACGTAGACACAATAGTTAAATGTATCTGTTTATTAYATAATATAATTATCGATCAGGAAGGGATTGATAATTATAATAATATTATAATTATAATATAATATTATAATTATAATAACAGAAATTGAAATATCAAGACGAAACAATCGTTCTAAAACTGCAGCCTATGCAAGACGTGATAAATTCAAAGAGTATTTTAATAATATTGGAGCTGTTCGTTTTCAAAATACCTAATTAAGTTAGTAATATGAAATAATTTTAACTTAAAAATTAATAAATTGTATTGACTATAAGTATTTATTACCTATATATACCTTTGATTTTAACTAAGTAGTCAAGTTACCTACCTAATTTAAGATTATTAATAATTTTTAAAATTTAAAATTAGATTAATAGTATATTGTACCTATTAGCTATAACCTTACTTACATTATACTATTGTATGAATTATGAATGGTAAAATTAATGTTTATACTAGTTTACTTTAATTTGAATACTCACTTTTAATTTCCATTTCTGTAGCTATTTCATCCCAAAGTTTCCTAATTATGTCTCTATTGTGGTAATGTTTTGATTTTTTATTCCACAAGGCATTACGGTCATGAACTAAACTAATTAATTTTTCTGAATCAATCATTCTGATTTATAACTAATATATTAGTTTAAAAAGATACTCAAATCTGATCAATTTTAAAATATTCAATACAATTGAAAACACAGGTCCAACCACTCCTACGAGGTTCACGCAATTGCACAAAATGAACAAGGTACTGTAAATAAGAATAACTTGTAAGAAGAAATATACAAAAATAATTTTATAGCCCAAAACAATTCTATATAAATAAATTATAAATGGTAAAATATGGCCATTTTTGTCAATATGACGAAAATAGTTCGTGGCTTCATGCTGAAACAGACGCCGCGTCGGGCGGATTCGGCCGGAAAAAACAAAATATTTTGATTTTACCCGACGTCGGACGTATTCGTCCGAATAATTCGGACGTAATCTGACCACAGCAATTACATTGCGGGGTATTATTGTTTTCGGCCGAACACACAATTTCGTCCGAAATCGGATATAGTCTGACCGTAACCTATGACCAGACCGATTTTTTTAAACTATTGTAAAAGACTGGGACCGGACCGTTTTATTTTTTTATATTTAAAAAAGACTGAGACTGGACTGTTAAAAAAAAATATTTTTATCAGGACCAAAATTACATTAATTAAATTTAAAAAAAATTTCACAGTAGAATAATTAAGATCGGTTGGTCCGGACCGATTCTACTTTTACTTCTTAGAACACTACCGAGACTGGTTTAGATTGAAACATTTGAAAAAGATTAATGCCGGGTTGCACGAAAAATGTAGAAATTTAATGGTTCAATAAATCAATAAAATGTCATGTTTAAGGGATCAGCTCACTATTGATTCGTAAAATGTTTAGTGATTGTTCATGAACCTCGATATGAGATTATTAACATTAATAAAGACATTATAATTCAAATAAAAACTATGTTTAGTTTTAACAAAATATGAATTAAGGAAATTATCGGGTTATCTTATTTTTAAAAAGAATATATTAATATAGTTGAAATTTGTTTTTAAGAATAATTACTTTAATTCATTAATTTAGTAGTATTTCATATAATTTTGTAGGTGTAGGTTTAACTAACCTACGATTTACCTACAATTTATAATGCGCCTATATTTATAAAAAAAATACAGAATAACTGTACTAATATAGTTGGTAGGTACATATAATGTATTGTTATRTGTATCTATATTATGGGAAAATAAGTACAACTTAATTTCTTTTAACCGTTTATTATAATAATCACAAAAAAAATGTTTCATAATATTTCAAATTAAAATATATAACATTTAATGCTAGAAAAATTATGGATTTTACTGTGCCGCACCTAGTTACTATAAGATACGTTTTTTAGCTAAATTCTTTAAATTTAAAATAAAATAATTAATATTAAAATAATTACTAGTTGATACTTGGTAGTTCAATTAAAAATAATAGTAAAATAAATTCATTTTTTATTTGTAAAATGGTTATTTAAGAACAAAATCGAATCTACACTTGTACCACTCAGACAACTTCTACGCTCTTCGATTAGACTTCCAGCAATGCTGAAAGAGCGTTCACTGCTAGCACTACTAGCTGGAATAGCCAAAATTTGTCGTGCTAATACACTTAAATGTGGAAAAATGTGATTTTGACGATTCCAAAAATCTAACAAATTGTCGTCGATAACATCAAACTTTTCTTTTTTATAAGCTTCCAATTATTTTTCAAATTTACGCCTATTGTCTAAATCTTCATTATTTTCACCATCTTCCCATTCTGAAAATAGTGAGCTATTCGAAATGTTATTTTGTATGGTAACATGTTCCTGGTGTATGTTTTCTGGAGTTATATTTTCTTTTAATTCAATTTTTAACAACTTTAATCCTATATTTTGAAATAATATACGTGATTTATCAGGTTCTGAAAATATTTTTAGAGATTTAAATTTTGGTGATAAAAAAATGGCAATCTCGTGTTCTTCGGCCAACTTAAATTTAGATTCCATGAACTCTAACCTCGTTTTCCTAATTTTTGCATTATTGAGTTGGGTGTAAGTTCTTCATTTGCATCAAATATGTCCTCTTGAAGTTCAGCATATGTTTTTAAATGTTTTTTCAATAACAGTTGGTATAAAACAACCTTTTGAATAGTCGGATACTTATCACCCTCTAGTTCATCAGATGCTTTTTTAAATGGTTCCAAAAAAATTGTAATTTTTTCCAGTAATTCTATATTAATATTTTGTATACGATTGAAATGTTCTCCATATAATTGAATTATTTCTGGAAGTGCTCTTTTTACTGATTGAAACATTAAAGCCTTGTGTTCCCCCTCGTTTCAACTTCTTGTACAAGTCCYTGGCTAAGTTCACTATTTTTACCCGAGCTTTTCATAAATTTTACCAAATGTTTACATTCGTTTAGTAATATTACTACTGGATTCAAAAGTTTATTACCRTCTTATTCATGATTCAAAAATTTTGAATCAGATTTCTTAATACAGTATTAATTAAATGAGCACAGCAGTTAAGTCTATTGTTATTTCTGAGAGCTGTTAACATATTGGAACCTTGGTAGRTAACAAAAGTTATATTTGACATTAAATCAAATGTTGGCTCATCTGCTGCATCAGATATTTCACAAAAAAAAATTTAACATGAAACGTTTTATATTGTCACCTGTTTTTACTTCATTACTTAGAAATAAACCAGTTTTAAGTAGAAGGCAGTTTAATTCCCAATTATCATCTATGTAATGCAGAGTTACTGACATGTAACTATTCTTACGATAATTATCAGTCCACATATCACAGGTTGAAGCACAATATTTTTTGTTTATAATAAAAAATAGATCTTTAAAAAGTTTGTTTCTGATTTCTTTATCACTTTTTTCAACATGTCTTGATATGGTAGTCGGGTGAGGCAAAAGGTCCGAAATGTCAATTGGTCCATACTTTCTCCCAGTGTCTAATAAAAACTGACACAAATTCTTCAAACCTTCACCTTCAATTGCGGACATTGGTCTTATATCCATACAACAAAATTCAACGCATTTTTCAATTGCTTTTATCTTTAATTCTTTTGGTACAATTTTTTGTTTTTTACTTTTCTCTTCAATAAATATATCAATAGAGCTTTGCAAACCTTTATTTAAACTGCGTTTGTGTCTATTAAGTGTAGCTGTCGCTGATTTATTCYCGTAGAGTTCCTTGCAATTTATACAAGCAACATAATCTATTAAAATTTGTTCGGGAGAATCAGGGTTGTCCATATTTTGAACGATTTGCAGAACATTTTGAAATTTTTKCCACGTGTCACTTTTTCCTTCACGAGACACCAAAATATATTCTCCTGTATCGTGGGTTAATTTCCGTTTAACTACACTTTTAGAATTATTTGTCATAAATGGATGAATTAAAGATTGATTTGTCGTAGATCCAGAAGTAGAAGGAAACGAAACAACAGAAGAATCCTCGATCGTGTCATTCGGTATAGGCGTACTGCATATTACGCTGTTTTGATCAGTAGACAAATCATTAAGTGAACTTGCAAAACTCGAATTTAAAAATTCAGAAATTTCTTGAGAATTCATAATTCTAAAATAATGAAAAAATAAATTGAAAAATGTGTGTATAAATTATTATACAAAATAGTATAAAATATTTCAAAATAAATGAAAAATAGTATATTTTGTTTGAAAATATCAGCAATTGAAAATAACCAACACCTATTCATATATCGATGGCTAAGACGGCAAAATTTGTATGTCACAAACACTAAATTATACAGGGGAGCAGTTTTAAGATTTTTAATTATTCTACACCAAATAATAATTTGTGTTGTAAATTTTGTTCTTCGATGTTGTGACTTATTTATTTGTAAAATATTCTGTAGATTACAAYTTTATTGTTCGACAGCACATAACTATCTAGTACTACTACTAGCCGTACTTGAGTGGATTAGATAAAAACCTTAATAAAATAGGCAATAATGTGTAACCACTATAGTCTATAGGTATGTATAACATAAATATCTTGAACATTGTAATGAATAATACTATTAAGTAATCTTATGTTATCTATATAGTATAATGTAGAGATGTGAGTTATGTAAATTTACCGTAAATTTTACCAATTTTTTTTACCGGTAAATAATTGTTTACTAAAAAAAAAGTTATGTGGCTGCTCTAATCAAATTAAATCTGATGCCTATCCTGAATTGCAAAACGATATTTTTTTATCAACTGATAATCAATACCAATACAATAATTATTATACTAATCATATTTTCTATTTTCTCGACACTGTATATTATAATTTATAAGTAATAGTTAAAAGTAAATAAATACAAATGTTTTGACTTTTGAACATAAAAAAATAAAGGGAATGCTTTGTAATTTTGATAAATTAATTTTAATTATTTATCAATTGTATTATGAATAATTAAATATTCAGAATATGGCATAGAGTATCATCACAGATAATATGAAAACAGATTGTGCACTTCCTATGCTGCAATGTAAAAAATGAATAAGGTRCTCTGATTGGTCTCCGCCCAAATCAGTGTAGCCACAAAAGTAGTAAAATATAATGGTAAATTATTGTCTACAAAAAACATATTCTTTTAAATTTTTCACAATATCAAACAATTTATTAACAATTAAAAATG